CGCAATCTGGACTTACCGCAACCTCCGCCTCCTGGGTTCAGGCAATTCTCCTGTTTCAGCCTCCTGAGTAGCTGGGATTACAGGCACGCACCACCATGCCCAGCTGATTTTTTGTATTTTTAGTATAGACGGGGTTTCACCATGTTGACCAGGATGGTCTCGATCTCTTGACCTCGTGATCCACCCGCCTCGGCCTCCCAAAGTGCTGGGATTACAGGCGTGAGCCACCGCGCCTGGCATTGACTTTATTCTCACAGCAAGCCCATGAGGTAGTTGAAAAAACATTAGGGTTCTTCACAAATGTTTCTGGCCAGAAGTGAATCCAGGCATTGCAGGGCTTAAAGCATATCCAATTTGGGGGAACTTCTTGAAGGAAAGGAATACCAATTTATAAATATAAATTAGGCACAGGGTCCCATGAAAGAGAAGGGCTTGGAAGCATTACAGCAAGTCTGTTAGTTGCATGTTAATGCTCCCTGCCCCTTGTGAAGTTAGGTGAGAGCATGTGAATTGCTTTGGCCAATGGGATATGAATGAAATTGATGTGTGTCACCTCTGGGTGGAGTCTTAAGAGTTGTGAGTGATTCTCCACTTTCCTTCCCAACACTGACTCCCATGGTCCCTGGATTGACAATGGAAGAGTGTGCCAAGATGGAACCTCTTGGCCCTGGAACTCTGAGCCTGTGATATCTAGAGCAACCCCTCTCTTCACCCTGCCCTGTGTCAACCAGCATGAGACATGGAGTGTAAGTAAGAAATAAACTTTTGTCATGGCAATTCACTAAAATTTTGGATTTTTTTTTTTTAACCACAGTGAACCTTGCTTAACCTGATTGATATAGGCAGGGTATTATTGTTGTTTCCATTATCCCGATAAGAAAATTGAGGCATAGAGAGATTTAGTTACTTGCCTGGCATCACACAGCTAGTTAATGGTAAAACTGGGATAAATGGTTCAGTGTCTTTGTTTCTAAGTGACATTAGGGAAAGGTGGGGACTTCAGCAAACTAAGGTATTTGTTCCATCGGAAGACTGTTTTTGAATTCCTACTGTTGGTTGTAAAAGAAGAAGGTAGTCCTTCATTGCCAGATCCTCTGATTTTTTTTTTTTAAGCAGAGGCCATAAATCCAGCATTTTAATGTAAAACCAATTGATTGAAATATTTTTCTTTTTCTTTTGTTAAACATCATGAAGCTAAGACATTAGTGAGCTAGGTTTTGTTCATCAGTTCGAGACCTTACAACATTGCAGTTTTCATTAAAAACAAAACAAAACACTAAAAATTCAAGCCAGTAACATTGTGCGCTAGTGACACAGCCATGGCAGTCTGAGAAGGCTTTGGTGGGAAGGTAGGACTGCAGTAAGGTGTCCAGGCCCCAGAGAGGTTCCCTGCAGTAAGATGATAGGGGCCAGGGATGTTCCCAGCCTGGGGATGGAAAGAGAATAGTCACAAACATTTTCAAGGACTCTGTCACATCAGAAGTGTTTTGTGCCAGGCACAGTGGCTCACACCTATAATCCCAGCACATTGGGAGGCTGAGGTGAGCAGACTGCTTGAGCCTGGGGTTCAAGACCAGCCTGGGCAACATGGTGAAACCCCATCTCTACAGAAAAAATTTAAAAAATTAGCCAGGCATCGTGATGGGAACCTGTAGTCCAGCTACTTGGGAGGCTGAGGAGAGAGGACTGCCTGAGCCTGGGAGTTGAGGCTACAGAAAACTGTGAATAAGCCACCGTCTCAACAAAAAAATGTTTTGCTAGGGTTATTCAAATTTTTGTACGAGGCTCTCATACTCACACACAAATACTCCTTGAGGAAACACTAATAGTTTCATATGATGCATTTCCAGAAGCTTTCCTATCGCCATGCCCTGTGGGATTGAGAAGGATCTAGCTGAATGCCATTGAGCCAAAGAAAGAAGAGGCAGTCACCGAACAAACCTTCCTGGAAATAGAGATCTCCCTGTATCCAAAGACGGCAATTCCCTGATAACTCCCCAATGAGGCCAAGGTATTTCCATCTACCTAATCTAGTCAGCTGTCTTGTGAGGCTCATCTCATTCTTGGGGAGTGGAGACAGGAAATGGTAAAGGTTATGTCCAAGAGGCCCTAACATGAAAACTGAAAAAGAAAGTCAAGTTCGGATGACACCAGTGAACGTTCAGCACAAGACCTCATGCATTCATCCAGAGGTTCCCAAAGCATCAAATGAGACTTGAAATGTCATAAGAATAAAGGAACCATTTGTGGAAATAGAATCTTGTGGGCAAAACATTTGGAAAACTCATGCAATGAAACAAGGTCCTTTGCTGCAGGACTTATCAGAACCTTTAAAAAGCCACATGCATGGTGTGTGTGTCTCTAAGACGGCAACCCTGCTTGGTTGTGGAATCCCTCTATCTTTTCTTTTTTTGCAGAAGCTTTTGGGAAAAAATGTGGTAGAGAACTTTCTTTGAGATGTGCTATCTAATCTTCCCTTTGGGACATCTCACCTCTGAATATCTTGGTCACTTTCTCTCTAGATTTCTTTTAGAATTGCGGTTTTCTCTTTTCAGAAAAGGAGGCATTTCTAGTTATTCATTAGTTTTCAAAAGTAGGTGGCCAATGGAGATCAGAGAGGCCATCGTATGCCTGGCACTGTACCCTGCATGTCCTTGAGCTCTCTGGGCCAGACACAAGCATCTACCTTTTCGTCAACTCAGTCATGACTTCAGCAGTTGGAATTTCCAGCTCAAAGGATGTTCTTTAAGGCAAAGGGACAATGACATTTGGGAGGTAGCAGCCTCAAGGAAACACTCTCTCTGCCTAGGGACACGTACTTGGGAGGAGGAAAAGGAAGAGGAGGAGGAGAGAGAAGCCCCTGAGTGGTTGACCAAAAGGGGCCCCTTTTATGGCCTTCCTGTTTATGGCTGAGAAGTAAACAGCTTGGGAGCCAGGCTGTCTCCCTCCGCAGCTGGGGCACTGGTTCAGGCTGGCCGGGGACCCTCTCTTTCTGGGTGGCAATGGGCAGGGAACTTGCCAGTCATGCTCATCTCAGAGTGCATTTTTTAAAAGCCAACATGTTGGGGAGTTTTCCTTCACCCCGCACCATCTGCTTGGTCCTCACCTCAGAGGTCTTGCTCTTTCCTTTCAGGCGACAGTTGCAGATCTGTGTGTGCAAGCTTGGGGGTCAGATCCTAGCTGCAGCACGCAGCAGCTGTGTGACTTCAGGGGAGCCCTGCACCTCCCTGATTCTCATTCACAGTGATGAGTAGTAGCCCCTTCTCCCAGGGATTTGGGAGGATGTGCAGACTGTGCCTGCGAACTTGCCTGGCATGTGGTAAGTGACAATACATGTTTATTTCTATGGCTATTATTTTAGTTGCCCGCTGGGCTCAGCCTCAGCTTTCAGGGGGTGGTGGGCTGGGGTCCTGGTGGGGGGAAGGGATTCAGGCTCACCTCCCAGAGGGACTCCCGGGACCTTGGTCAAGGCAACATCTTTCTCTGGATTAGTGCTGGGAGTGCTTTTCCTCCTGAGATGCAGGCTGTGATGGAGCTGGGAGGATGCCCCAGCTAACATAAGGAAGACGGCGCCGGGGGCGTCCAACACCAGGAGAATCAATAAACTATAATTATCAAGAATGGTGTCTGTGGGGGTTGGGGAGTCATGTGGACAGAGGGAGACAGAGGGAGTGGGACAATGCCAGAGAGAAGAGACAGCAAGAACAAGACACACACACACACACACACGCACACACGCACGCACACGCACACACACACGCACTCTGAACAGATGCAGATAAAGTATGCGAACATGGAAAGAGACACGTGTGCTGCGCTCAGCCTTCCTGTCCTGTCCCTCAGAGTGGGTCTGCTTTCCTGGACAAGACAGAGGGAGTAAGCGCCAGACGTCTATTAGCTCTTTACATTCCCCAAGTCCTTGCCCACATCAGTCCTTTAACTCTTGGACGAAAGGCAGAAACGGTCTGATGTCTGCTTACAATGTCTAATTTACTAACTTAGTTATGTTCAGATATTAAAACAATGCACATTTTTACATTGTGTGTAGTCTATTAGGCTAGAAATAGTATTTAACATTACCAGGGCCTTCATTATCCCTGGATCAAATGCTGTTTTAGGTTCACTGCTCCGGCAGGGTTTTTTTAATTTTCATTTTTTTTTTT